GTGGGGTTACAGCAGGTATGAACCCTAAAGCTTAATAAAAAGATATATAATAAAAAAGGAAATTTAATCTGGCTTCCAGTATTTTCAGAGAAGCAATTTTCTGTGCCTACAGGCTCTCATGAGTTTGTTCCTCTTATTAAGTAGACCTACATTGTTAATATTTTTGAAGATGAATTTCTTTTCTAATAGACTTAGGTTGATCCCCCAGCCAGAAAATGGCTTTTGTTTGGGCTACAAATTCCCAATTTATGTGAGGTGTGTAGGCATTTGTTTTGATATTCCAATAAAACTTAGAGATTGCTGTGGCGTTTGCATATTTTTTGTTGCTAAGGGTCATCAGGTGATGATAAAAATGCTTTTTCCAACTATTAGTGGTAGATCCAAAATAAAATTTAATCTGGTCATTGTGCTTGACACTAGCCTTATAGGTAACTCCTTTATACATGCATTTACCATTCATGGGACAGAGGGTACCTTTACGGCAATCACATTTTTGATCATCAGGGCTACCATTGCTACTAGTGCTGCTTAAGTATTTGTTAAGGGTTACACTATTATGTTAGGCTAAATATTGTTCAAGGTTTTTAGTGCAGCTGTACCTAACCTTAACGCTGTTCTTGTTGAAGAGTTTTCTGAGTAAAGGATTATAACTGAAATGCTTGTGTACTAACCTAAGAAAGATTCAACTGATGTTGGTCCTGACGTTATTGTTGAAGGGTGGATTGAACCTAATAATGTTGCGTTTTCTATTCTTAGATTTACTATTGGTATTCACATTAGTGTTAGGGATGTAATTTAGTTCAGCATTATGCTTACTTCTATTTAATGAATCAACATATTTGGTTTTGTATTTGTCAAAGATGTGTTTACTGCTGGAGTTAGTGGAGAACCTATGTTGCACAGATTTGTGGAAGTTATTAAGGATACATGGTGGGTGGTTAGATTCTTTACTAATATATATATATGATTATAAAGTTCCTTATTATAAGTCATGTACACTCCTCTGAATAGTTCAAACATAGTGTCTAGGAAATTGATCACCTTGGTGTTGGTAACAGTAATGATGTTAAGTTTGTGATCCTTAAAGAATTTGATTAGCCGTTTCCTAAGCTGGTCAGTTTTTTGTGGCTTGGAGTTACATAGAAGATTACTCCATCATCCCTGCACAGTCCTTGACCCAACGGGTCTTGGTGACAGAGAGGTAACAAACCAGATTACCCTGAAGATCGATTCAGATTAAACCTAGGTAGGTAGTTCCTGGCTCTTTAGGATTTATTTTATTAATCTTTGCTCTACTTAGTATATTGAGCACTCTATGTTTTAACTTAGTTACTCAATTGGTGTTTTTTCTTTGGACTGGTAACTTAAGGCACTGGGCAATTTTTTTCACCCTGTTCAGATGTTTCTAGTTCTTTCTTTTTTTTCCAATTTTTTCCTCAGATACCAATTTGTTTTGTTATACTTGCAACTTGTGCTATCCGAGGTTTTTTAGTTTTTACCAACCAAGTATAATTATTAGTATAATAATATATATATATATATATATATATATATATATATATATCCATGGTTCCTCTACTGGGTCAAAAACCACATTGAATAGGCTAAATGAATTTATCTCAGAATCGGCATTACCAGAGATCTAGTGCAGTTTTTGATCTGGTAGAGGAGACATGGCTATGCTCTTTTGTCTCTGGCAGGCTCAGGAAAAGACACAAGAACAAAACAAGGATCTATTTATTGTTTTTGTACACTTCACAAAGGCTTTGGAAAGTTTTGTTAAAATTAAGTGTTCCAGAAAAAATGATCCATATTATTATCTTCTTTCACAAAATAATGAAAGCTTTTGTAAGGTCGGGAAGTGAGCAATTGGATGCTTTTTTTGTCACCAACAGTACAAAGCAAGGTTACATTTTTGTTTCTCTTCTCTTTGCACTTTTCTTTGCAATGTTGAATTCAAAACAAGTTGAGGTCTATACAATCAGCAACATTTTGAAGCCCATCGAAACTTGTTCTGCACAATCTTCTCTTTGCAGATGATGCTGCTCTATTAGCACACAGTCTAGAAGACATTCAAACTATCCTTGATAAATTCTCTGAAACAGCAAAAGCATTTGGACTCACTATCAACATAAAGAAGACTGAGATAAAGTACTAGCCAGTACCAGGCAATCCATCTCTCACAAATCCTTCTGTCTTCATTGATGGTACAGCATTAAAAACTGTTGAGGCATTCACATATATTGGATCAACAGTTTTTTCTGATGAAAAAATGGAGAGAGAAATCTAATCCAGAATAGGCACAGTATTCAGTAATCTTAAACATAGTTTAGTGAACACCAAAGATGTATATCTCAAAATAAAGATTTATATATATAGATCATTCGTTCCCTCAGCCTTTCTCTATAGTGTGGAAACTTGCACCCTATACCGCAAGCACATAAATAAACTTGACGCCTTTCACATGCACTGTCTTCATGAAATATGTGATTATAAATGCGATGACAGTGTTAAGAATAGTGCAATACTGAAGTAATGTAACAACATCACAGGCATTGAAACCATTCTAGCAAAGATACAACTTAGATGGGCTGGTCATGTTGTGAGAATGGATGAGCATAAGCTTCCAAAAAAGGTGCTGTATGGACAACTACCAAACTCCAAGCATTCAGTTGGTCGTCCAATCTCATGCTACATAAGACATGTTTTATTAAGTTAAAGGGTTTTGAAGAGAGTAAACTGAAGCACCGTCAAGCTCTGAAGCAGAAACACCATCAAAATCTTCAACAAATTTCATCTGTCATTGTGGCTGGGCTAGTATCACACTTAAAAAAATACAAATGAAATATGTCTTACCGTTTACCTGATTTTTTCAAAATAGCCCATGCTAAAATGCATAGGACTGTAAAACGAAAGGCACCATCCACTGCTGACACTCATTTATCATTCATGATAGGAGAGTCCATTATATATATATATATAAAAATATATATATATATATATAAAATATATATATATAAAATATATATATATATATATATATAAAATATATATATAAAAAATATATATATACATATATAAAATATATATATACATATATAAAATATATATATATATATATATATACATATATAAAATATATATATATACATATATATATATATAAAATATATATATATATCTACTATCTATATTTCTCATGTTGTCTGTCTGTGTGTCTGTTGTGGGCGTTGTTACCTCGCCCAGGCCGCATTTCTCACCCGATTTCGATGTGGTTTTCACAAGTTTGCAAATGGCTGCCGTAAGGACATGACGGAGCCCGATTTTTAAGTTCAGACACAGGTTTCGGAAAAATTGATAATCGAAAAAATCTGTTTACAGAAGGAATGATCGAATTTCAACCAAATTTGACACCCTCTTAGAGTCTACCATTAGAAGTGTTGTCCAGAAGTTTCATGACCACGGACCCCTAAACACTGCGGAAAATCAATAAAACCCAAAAACTGATACACCCAGATTGCGCCTGAACTGCATGTTGGTTTTTAGCGAAAACCGAGAAGTTTTATGCGGAGGCCATTGGGAGTTACCATGTGAAGTTTCAATTCTGAGCGCCCCCAAAACAAAGTGCAAATCAACAATCGGTCAACCTATAAAAATGTTTTTCCGGTTTGGTATGTCCTAAATGCAGATTAATTTAAGGTCACGCTATGCGTGGGAAGAAACAGGTCAGTGCATGCAGTGGAGTGGAAGAAAACATTTAACCTCAAATTCTGAAATGGATGTAGGGCCATTGAAATTCGGCTTTTTTATCCCTGCTACCAGGTCTGACTTTGAACCACAAATGACAAATTCGACTTTGTCAACACTTTTGCTTTAATCGTTCCTATCTTACCAAAATAAGCACTTCCTTTATTTGCGTCTTTCCTGAAAAAAATCCACATACGTGCTGAGTGAAAATGGTTCTGCCCTCAGCAGTCCATTTTCCAATTCTCTAAACCTTTTCCCCTAGCCCAGGCTGCATCCCAGACCTGACAAGGAGTTTTTGCACTAAAACAGCAGGGCTTCTTCCCAATTCATTTCAAAGCTAATGCTGGCAAACGGTTAGCGGCTTTTCATTGTTGCACAAACTAAACAAGCAAACGCTTCATTTCAGCTCCTTGCATTCTACCGCAAGTTACCTATTTGCTTAAACGTTTGCATTACCCATTTTATCACTGCATGCTGCCTCTACTGCTCAGCCCAGTCCATCTTAGCGCTCCATACCTATTTCTACCTTTTCATAGTTCAGTTTTGCTTTTAGACAGTTAACTACTGTCGCAAGTTACTTATTTACTCAATCGTCTGCCCAACCTATTTTTACCTCCACGTTACAGTTTTCACTGTAAGTTGAAATGTACCCTATGCTTAGCGTTCTCAGTACTTCACTGCCTATTTGCTTAAATGTTTGCATTACCCATTTTATCTCCGTGTGCTGCCTCTACTGCGCATCTTAGCGTTCCATACCTATTTCTAACTTTCCATAGTTCAGTTTTGCTATTAGACAGTTAACTGCTGTCGCAAGTTACTTCTCTTCTGCCTTTAATATGCGGCCCAGTACACCTCAGTTTTTCACTACTTTTTAACCTTCAATGCTTCAACATTTTGGTTGCATAACCTCTTCCTACAGCGAAGTTTTCATGCTGCCAGAAAGCACGGCCCATAGCTAGAAGATTTTTTTCATACCGCTCAACTGCATTTTTAGTTTTCGTAAACAACGAGGTTGCACCGCTTCAGCTTTGGCATCAACTTCTATTCGCATTCTTACACAGCATTTCTGCAACCCTTCAATATGGCTCCTACATGACGAACATCCGCACGTCAGCAACTGAAGACCCCTAATACCGTTAGCGTTAAACATGCAGAACAGGCAACTGCGGAGGAGCACATAATAACTCCGGTTACAGATGATCATATAGCGTCTACTTCAGCCTCTGCTTTGTACTCTTCTTCGTGCCGTGGCGATGACCAACCCGGCAGCTCTGCAAAGACACTGGCTAAGGGGAAAACGGGAGCAGGATTCCATTGAGTGCACCTCCTTGGGGGAGAAATGGCTGGCATCTACTTCAACCTCTGCTTTGCACTCTTCTGAGTGCCGTGGCGATGACCGACCCGGCAGCTTTGCTAAGCGTGCCAAAATACCATGGTGAGGCAACATTAGTAGTCTTTCTAAAAGAGCCTCTGCAGCAAAGAGAAAGCGGGAGGAGGAAACTCTACCTCGGAGGCCTCTTTGAGGCTTTCCAGTCAATCTCAAAGGAGGCAGTATGTTTTGTCACATGAAACGCTTGGTGAGCGTAACTACCGTTTGTACTTCAAATCAGTTTACACATATTCGATGAAAAGTAAGAGGAAACTACCTAAACGTGTGCAAGACAACAAAAAAGCGGCTTCATCACAAGCGCTTTTGCGGTCTCAACAGAGCCCACATTGAAAAGCTACTCACAATGCAGCCGACGCCGCTGCAACTTCCATACGATGGTCCCAGGAGACCATGGCTGAGAAAACCGCACGTAACACAGCGAAAGCTGCAGCAATGTCCATTCGACGGTCCCAGGAATACATGGCTGAGAAAACTGCATGCCATGCAGTCGACGCCACTGCAACTTCTGCTGCAAGGGTGTCGGAAAGTTCCCCGAAAAAGCGCACAAGGCGGCAACGCAATGCAATTTCAACTTCCGCTGCTAGAGCTGTAGAAGGGCCTACTCAAAGGCTTGAAAGGTTGCAGACTGTTAACCAGCGCCACCATGCACAACGAGGGCTCTGTAGCCCAACAAAGCAGTTTTGGTTTAAGCTGGCGTTCAACTATGAGCCAGTTTTGAGGCTTTCCGGTCACAAAGACCTCCAAACAGGATCCATGTCAGTTGTCTGGGCATTGCAATGCCAAAAAATGACCTGAAGAGTCTGCAGGTTTGTGTTGTTCAGACGGTAAGGTACAGTTGCCACCTTTTCAAGAGATACTTACTCCGTTGAAAGCTCTGTTGGAGGGTTCCAGTCCAGACTCCAAACATTTCCTCACAAAAATCAGACTGTACAATTTTGCCTTCCATGTGACCTCTTTCGGTGGTAATGCCTTCCGCGAAGTAAGTTGGAATCCCACCTTCCAGGTTCAAGGTCAGGTTTACCACCGGATTGGGTTTCTTTTGCCGGAAACTGCCACTGATTCGGACTTTCTACAATGTACTTCATAGCTGACTACAATCAACAGGCAGATGCCCGCATGGGCATTATTCCCGAGAACGATACAGGCCAGGACAATCATCCTCGCAGGGATATCATAATGAGTCTCCAACAAATGTTCCACGAGACAAACAGCTATGTCCGCAGTTTTAAGTATGCTCTCGAAAATAACACTTCTTCTGATTTCATTATTGTAACTGATGATGACAAAAGGTCTCGGGGAGAGCATGAACGCCATTACAATGCTCCCGCAAGTAACAAAGTTTTCGTCATTGTCAGCAGTGATCAGCACAACAGAAGTGACATTGTTATCGAATCGCGCGGCAGTGGGCTCTGAAGAATTGATTGATGGTACATGAGGGTGCATTCAATCATCATCATCGAAGCCGGAAACTTTTCCATCAATTCATAGTAGACATAGCTGCTAAGATAGAATCTGAAAGACTGTTACATCAGATTGAATCAGACCAAGTTGCGCTATGACTCTTACATTCACCTCCGTGATGCTTTATGAAATGACGCTGATCCAGCTGTCAGTTTTTGACTTCTTTTCACACCCAGGCTGCAATTAATGTCAAATGTCAAATCAACTTCTGACATTTACGGTGTCAATTCAGTAACAGAGACAGATTTTCAATTTGGACTCAGGCTTTCAAAAAATTAGTAAATCGGCTGGTCACTCCGGTATTTGGGCGGATTACATTCTAATATTTTCAATTCTTTCAGGCTTCAACCAGAAATTCCTACGGAGCCCAGTTAGAGGTGCCTTGCATAGAAAGCCGTGTGACCCCATCGTGAAAAATTGATACAAACCTCCATGTTGACCATGCCCTCAGCAGTCCATTTCCCACTTCTTTAAACTTTGTTCTTTCTCTCAGGCCGCATCCCAGACCTGATTTTTCAATTTACGTCATTGTGTCATGCCGGAGCCCGATTTTTTTATTTGGTACTCAAACTTTGTCAAAAAACCGATTAACTCACAGGTGATATGGATTTTGGGTTTTTAAGTTGAATGTCTCGCCTGTACTACGCGGCCCAGTACATCTAAGCTTTTCACCTCATTTTGGTCTCTGTGCAGTTGACTTCGCGTTGTTAAACACTTTTGAGCTATTTTTATTTGAACTTAAAATCGGATCAATGTATGGTTTCCAAAGTACCGGGTTAACAAAACAAGGGCAACAACAACCCCGCCCAAGTAGTATGACCAGTCTCAATATTTCAGGAAACTGGGTTGGGTGTGAAAAAGTATTTCTTGTTAACATTGTTTTTTCATTCGGTTTTTCCAGTTACGAGTCCTTTTTTAAAGTTGATCGTTTTGTGTTCATTTTGTTTAGTTCTTTTTTCGTAACAGATTTAATGTTTAGTATAGTGTGAGATAGGCAAGAAGTAAGGCATGTAGCAACATCAGCACAGCAAAGGACACTCCTTTAAAGTGAAGGAAGGGCAAAAATATTTTAAGTGATAGCGATTGCTGTATGAATCGTACGATTTTTGAATCAAGCACGGGCAACGCCGGGCCATGCTGCTAGTATATATATATATATATATATATATATATATATATATATATATATATATATATATAAAATATATATATATATAAATATAAAATATACCATCTATATATAAATATAAAATATACCATATATATAAAATATACCATATATATATGTTTTATTATATAATAATTGCATAATACATTTTAGATGCATCAAGAGTAGTCTTCAATGATGTACTGTCCTCATCGCCGATTTCAGGTTTTGCATCATATCGGCTCCAACAGCAACCCCGACCTGATTCAAGATGAGTCAGGCCACCTCCTTGAAAGCATTGTGCTATGCAACATGCCATTGCAATAACACATTCGGCTTTGCTCAGATTTTGACCATTCGTATTGACATATGTCAGTCAATGAAAAACGAGGCTTTTCACACCCCTCCCTCCTATATATATATATATATATATATATATATATATATATATATATAATATATCATATATCCTCCTATATATATATATATATATATATATATATATATATATATATTATATATATATATAAATATATCATATATCCTCCTATATATATATATATATATATATATATATATATATATATATATATATTATATATATATATAAATATATCATATATCCTCCTATATATATATATATATATATATATATATATATATATATATATATATATATATATATATCCTCCCTATATATATATATATATATATATATATATTATATATATATAAATATATCATATATCCTCCTATATATATATATATATATATATATATATATATATATATGCAATTTTTATATATATTATTTATATATTATATATGCACGGTACTTACGATTGCAGAGAGCATGAAACCCAGGGTCACAAACTCACATCAATCCATATATATCATAGATTTGGCTAGTTAAAAATGTTGTTTCTTTAAGAAAGCCAAGCAAAAATTTTATAAAGTAAGACCAAAAGGTGACTTCATAGAGATGCTTTTAGTCTGTAAATGTTATAATGATCATATATATTCTTGTGTCATGCAGGATAGAAGTTTATGTAGAATTATTTAATATTGGGAGTGAAGAATGCTTATATCCATTTTATATACATAAATGTATATAAGCATTCTATGATTTCATAGAGTCATTAGGAAAAGGACTTTTGGCATCTATGAAGACAAGTGTGCATGTCATTTTTAGGCTCATGGTAGTGTAATATTTGAAGAAATTCATTAGTGAAATTAACATGAAATTAATTTTATAGATTCAGTAAAATCAATTGATTTAAAGTTTTATATAAGTGATATACTAGAGAAAGAATTTGTGAAATTCTTGGATGTAAAGTTGAAGCAGATTTGCATGTTTGTACATTCCCAAATGGATAGCTGGGGCAATTCTCATTCCCATACTTCTGGAGTTTGATCTGATTTTGGTATTGTTGACTGTTATAAGTTTATTTATCTATGTCATGAGGAGGATAGTGGTGTTTTTGTTTAGTTTTTATCTCAGTTTTATTATCAAGTATAGTGTCTATTCTTGAAGTTTAATCAGCTCTGTTTAAAATATTAAAAATGTTAGATTTCTTTTCCTTTTAACAAATTACAATGTATTGTATAAGTGAATTTTTGAGTGCACCCACATCACTACCAAATGTGACACAACGTTAGTTTAAAGTGGCAATACCAGTGGAAAAAAATTGCTCATGCACCCTCAGCACTTTCCCCCTTGGGGATGCCTCAGGTGCCAGTCAATGACTTGCCAGGCAGGAGTAGCTTAGTATTTTGAAAGTAGCCAGCTGAAACCAGATAAGTATTGTCTTAAGTTTTTTTATAAGTTTGTCTTACTATTTGGGTTAAGAGTGGGGTTCATTTCCTGTAATTATATCTACTTTTTATGCCTTTGGTCTTAAGCAAAGTGTGAGTTCTGAAGTGTTTATTGGTCTGCCATTGTAGCATTCTTTGTATAGAATTTCAATTTTTGACTTTTTTGTGTTGCTCTCAAAATGGGAGTGTAGATAGCAGTTCAATGCAAAGTTAAGAAATTGCTTTTACTGCTTCTTAAGTCAGTAATTGGAGAGATTGATAAAGTTGCTAAAGGAATTTGAATATATATTTTTCCTTGGTATTAAGTAGTTGAGCATTTTTCAATAAAGTATTCCTTTCGAGTTATTACAGGTATTAAGAATATTAATGTTACCAGTGTCATAGAGAAATATTTTATTAACTTCATCCTAGCATTTTAGGAAAACTACTCTTAGGTGCCAAATAAATGGAAATAATAAATGAGGGAGGTGGAAAAGAAATCAGAAAATGTAATAAATGGAGATATTAACGGGGGGGGGGGTCTGGAAAACAATGAAAAAATTTAATAAAATGAAGGAGGAAGAGGTTTCCAATAAATGGAATTGTTAATAAAGGATTAAAAACAAGTTTTATATGTACAGTGTATATCTAAAAACCAGTTACACATAGGTTTGTATACAATAAGAAGGATTGGGTTTTCTCTATCGACTAAGTTGTTGAAACTTATTCTTTGTTGTTGGTTCCATTATCGCAGTCACCGACTTAATTGCTTGTTCAAGACATCACTTTTGAAGTTTTACGGCTTTCTGCAAGTTAGGATCATCATGCTTGATGTTTTTTAAAATCTTTGTAAATTTCCCTGACAGCTTTTGCATTGTATCCTTTCATGGGATCTTTTGCATTTTATTTTTTTTTGCAGTGTCATTAAAAATGATTTTGTTGGCATTTGCATTAATATATTCTTTATACTCTGTTTTTATTGTTTGCAAAATTGTCACAGTTCTTTTTGATATAAACTATATTTTTCCATTTCTTGCATTTTCAAATTGTTATTTGGTCATTTTTAATCTTTTATAAAGTTTATAGTTTAAATAAATTGAACACAAAAGATAATTCACTAAAAATAAGCTTGCAGTACAATTGTTTCCCCATTAAAGTATATTTCAAAAAGAAAAGGTGAGTGTGAATAGTCAAAAATTAATAAGTAGAGAGTCCTAATAAGCTTCAGTGGTAGGTAGAAAAAATCCCAAATTTAACAAATGGGACTGGGGCAAGCTTTATTTGGCAGCCAAGAGTACACTTTTAATTTAGACATATGTTTATCACATACAACTGACAACTGATGACATAGATAATTGCTTCAAATAGGGATCAACACTTACTTGAGAAAAAG